TTTCAGATGCTGATGTTAATCCACCTGTATGTTTGTTATGGCAATTATCATCTATCTTCCTTACTAAAAATTGGATCTGTTGAATTATGGTCCTAATGCAACTGCATGAACTTATAATTATGTCGAGAAACCTTCGGTGATTCTAAAGAATGAGAAGCTAGTGATCATGCTTAACGTTGCCTTTGTTGGAAGAGTGAGGCAATGAATTCATTGGCTAAAAGACTGATTTTTGTTTTATCCAATCAAAAAATGTTTCCTTTGTTTGGAATGAGAGAAAGTGGACTGCCAGGTATATGCAAGCACATATATTTGGCCATTTTGTTATTAAATACATGATAGCTAATGCTCATTCCTTTCATGTTTCTGAAGGCTTAAAATTTTTCACCAGAATGGATCATTGTACTTCAAGAAGATGTTTGACAGATTGTATCAGGTTAATAGTCTTGCTAAATTTTTTTCTCCGAACCAACTTGCTCTGCCTGTTTACTTCTTTGTTCACTCCTCTGACAGGTTGATTGGAAGCCAGTGTCGGTAGAAAAATTTGGTGACATTGAAGACCTTGTGAAGACAGTTGGCTCGGTGAAAATAGATGAAGCTAAAGCGCCAGGTTCCTCCTGATTAAATCTTGTAACAAAGTTTGATGTAATGCCCAAGTACTTGTAATAATGGGAGCTGAAACCAAAATGTCTTTCCAGGGAAAGGATCAAAAGCTAACCAGGCCGTTCCAAAGGCTACACCTGCCAATCCTCCCGCAGCAAAACCTGCTGCTTATCGTCCACCTCATGCGAAGGTTGCTGCTGCAGTTCAAGCAGAGGTATGGAAGGGATTCTTTATTGATTAGTTATAACTTTTTTCTTTTGATAAGTCAGAGGTATTCATTGGTAGCACACCAAGCTGGTGTATAAAGTTCTTATACCTTACCATAATTGGTATTCAATCTAATAATTCTCAATGAAATTTATGGCATTTGATTACATGCTTAGAGCAAAATAACTTTGTTGAGCTTTTTGCATGTCATGCCTGGGTAGTTAATACTTTTAATTTCCCAATGGAGAACACTAACACTATGAATATGCTATGTTATTTCCTTCTATATTACAATGTAGAAACTACATTACATAAATGATACGGTATGTTTTAATATGATGATTACTCACTAGTGGGTTTTCTGAACAGCCATTACCTTTGTGAAGTTAACTGACCTTTTATGCAGCAACTAGAATATTTAGGAAGTTGGTTCCCTTGTAAAAAACTTCTTCAGTAATATTATATTGTAGCAAAGTTTCAAGAAAGTAAAGGTGTTCGATTATCATACTTTTGCTATTGTTAAGATATTCTCTCCCCACAATTTGACTAGAACGGTCACTCCATATACCCAATCTTTGGACTTAACATTATCCTCAGAATGGTTAATGCCATGTCAATTGTGAATTGGATTTAATGATGGTAAATAATAAGAAAAAATAAAAAGGCTAGCCCAAAATGCATGTATAATTTTCTTGAATGAAGCGTCCCTTCTCTACCTTTCGGTGATGAACTCTATTTCTGTCTCCTTAAGACATACAGGTGACGGAATCCCAAAAGAATATTAAGGTCCTTTATTGAATATGAGTAGCTCTTGTCTATAAACTTCATATGGTTTAGTTCGATAGCAATCAATCTGTAGAGAATAAAAGGAACTTAGGTATGTAATGTAATTCATTAGATATGTTGAGCTTAAGTATTCTAGAAGTAGTTACATGGATCTTTATCTTTCCTTCTTTTCTGTAAAACATTTCCTGAAATTTTAAAGCCAAATCTGATATTTCAGTTTATTACTGTCCATTTTTACTGGCAACTCATTTTCCTTTAGAACTCTCTTCCTTAGCACAGTTAAGAGACCTTAATAACTCAGCATACTAATGCGGGACTGTGTCAGCATCAGGATAGCCCTCAACTTTTTATTTTGTTTCTTCTGTCCACAAAACTGCAATTGGACCTATCGTGGATCTTGTTAACCCTAGTTCTCTTTTTTTTTGGTTTTTTTATCTTTTGCATTTTTTGGTTTCATTTTGTTTTGTCTGTCTTTGTTTGTTTGCTTCTTTCTTTCATATACTCCACCATGCACCCCCACATTGCAAGCTCTAAAATCCCTCTTTTTAGATCTGTCCAGCATTAGACCTGTTTGCATTGACCCCGCACTTGGCCCATAGTAGGTTTTGGACAAATTGTGAATCTAAAACTGATGTAGCATAAGTTTGGATCTTCATGTGTTAAATATAAGGAAGGAGGTTTCTTCCTTTTTGGACCCGGCATGTATGACAGAAAGAGCACGTGTAGGTTCTCTTGAGAGTTTACTTCGTCTGTTAATGGCTTTGATGATGGACTGTCTGGTGGGGGGTTTCTAGGTATAGGAGTGATTGTTTGAGATATAGAGAGACAATAGATAAATAACTATAGTAGCAAATATATGACTGTTTTTGGGAAATTAGAAAATGAGAAGAAAAAGGTGAGGTTAGACAGTATGCCGTTTGGAGGGAGCAAATGTACAATTTGTGAATTTTATTATAGTTCATCACTCTTAGGTGGGGCTGAGTGCGATTGAACTGATAATAAATTGGACATTTGGCACTTCTTGCTTGATCGTTCCTCTTCTTTTCGCCCGGGCAAGAGGATCCTGAACTTTTCAAATATGTTCTCTCACTCACTGATCCCTACCCCATTTGGATATAGAAAAGCTTTGGAAGGTTTCCCGAACTGAAAAGATACTGCTTTTCTGAATAGACTTTGTTCTGGAAAACAAACATAATTATTTTGAGGATATGGATAAAAAATACTTAGATGTAGGATTTCACAAAGAATAATATAGATATTCTCTGTAAACTTTTCTTCAGAAGTTAATCTCAACCCAGAACATTTTGAAAAAAATATGTCTACTGCATTAGGATATAGTTACCTTTACAGGACGNGGATATAGTTACCTTTACGGGACACATTCTGATGATAAACTTGCAATGTGGTAACAACGTGATGGTTTATTAGCTACTTTCAAAACGTCATAATTTGTATATACATGTCATCTGAAAGTTCATCCATGCGTTATTTCCAGTTATATTTTTTTCCTTTAGTTTGTGCCACTAGTATGCTAATAGTAAGCATCTGTTTCATTTTGACAGTTATTTGGAGGAAGTTCTTCAGGGTAAGCTTCAATGCACTTTTCCTCTTTTTTTGTTTTGTTTTTCTTTTGTAATATTTGTTCAAACTATAAGTGGCTATACATCATTCCGTATTTCACATTAATATAGGGAGCTGAGCAAGAATGCATTGAAAAACAAGAAAAAGCGGGAGAAACAACGGGAGAAAAAACAAGCTGAGGGTGCTTCTGGANTGGCTGCTAGAGCAAGATAAGGTTTTCATGGACCATCATACATCTGGAGATTTATTTGATTTGGCCTAATATTTGTGGAAAATATAAAATCAAATTTTGTTTCATATCTTCTTTTCCAAATTTAGTTTTCAGCCCATGTGCTGGAGCTGAAATAAAATTGCCCTTTTCTCAAGTAAATTTACTGGTGTTGGATGAGTGGGTTGGTGGAGCTGCCAGTTAGATAGGCAGTTAGTAGGGCTGTTCATGGTTTGACAAAAAACGATCCAAACCGATTAAGTAAACCAATATTTTTCTTTATTTGGATTGGTTTTGGTTTTAAATTTTAAAAACCGATAATATTTGGTTTGAATTTGGTTCTATTATAAAAAATCGAAAAATAAACCGAACCAAACCGATAAGTTATATATAAAATTTAATAACTATTTATATAAAGTATCACATCTTTTTGTAAATAATTTTAAATATTTTCTGCATTTTAATTATTATATATAGATTTTGGTTTATACTACTTATATCTTAAAAGATTGCCTAAGCCCAAAGTAATAGGGATTGGCCAATTTCTTTTCCTTAAGAGACTCATTCTCTAACCCTATGTATCTACTTTTGCCTAACAGAAGAGTTACAAAAAAATCTATCACAAAAGTAGAAAAACGCTACTCAAATTGCAAGAATACGGGCTAAAGTTTGAGAAGATTTTTATGAACGTAAGATTCTAATTTGTTACAAAGAATACTTTATCATTGATTCAACAAAGTGATGTTTGTACTTTGGAATCTTTATTTTGGCTTGTTCTTTTGATTCTATCATGTATTGCAACTTAGTTCACCCGGTACAATTTTCTATCTTATAATATTGTTATAATTTTAATACTCTGCTTTATATTATATGCTACAGTTTCAAATGTAAATAGTTAAAAGAACTATCACTGTAGGTATTTGAATTTATGCTCTAGTAGTACTTAAAATATTGTTGTATAATGTCGTTTTACTATTATCGACTTATCATTAGCTTATTAAGAACTAAAAACCCAAACCAAACCAACAACAACCAAACCGATGGTTTGTATTTAATTTGGTTTGGTTTTGGTTTTAAAATTTTAAAAATCGATTAAATTGGTTTGATTTTGATTTTCATAAAAAACCGACCAAATCGAACCGTGAACACCCCTAGAAGTTAGTGATAGAAGGGAAGTGTTTCTCTTTTTTGATTTTTGTTGTGTTAACTTTCTGGTTATGAAAGGGGACTATGCGACAAAAAACATATGGTTTATATCTGTGCATATTTGTACGAATTTTCTTGAAATAAGGGCAATATTTATTTATAGGGTAACTACCATTTTCTAACGGTCACTAAACAGTCGGCGACCAAAAAAGCCGCCGGTGACCACCTCCCATCGCAAGGTAGGTCCCCTCTCTCTCATCTCTTCCCTCTCCCCCATCTCTATCCTCTCTCTCCTTTCCTCTTTCTTTTTCTCCCTTCTTTTTTATGTCTTCTCTTTACACTTCTCCCATTGATGGCGACCTCGCCAGCGCCACCACTTTCTTTCTCCTCTTTCTGCCTCTTTCCCTCCCCCTCGTTCTCCCTCTCTTTGTGTGTGTGTGGGTGCGTGTACTTGAGCCTGCATACAGTGAACATGGCTGACCGAGTTCCGGCGAGATTCAGTCACGCGCCGGCGTGTGAGCATCAATACAATCAGGTTTTCGACAAGATTTTGCATCACTGGTGGTCACCCTCTCAACTGCATCACTAGGTTCTTTTGTTCTTGTTTTGCTATATTCTGTTTTCGATATACTTTGTTACAATTTGTTTCTTTTGTTCCTAGTGTGTTCTTTATTTGTCGTTGTGTTCTAATTGCAGTTACTGTATTTGCTTGTGGGCTTAGTAGCGATTAGTGAATTTAGTCTCGCTTATCTACCTACTACTACCATTTCTAGTGCATTAGTATTGTAGTAGTGATTGCTTATTGTGCCTTAGATTATAGTGGCTGTAGTGAACAATAGTAGGGTAAGGTCATGACTTCAGGGGGACCTTGGGTGGGGGTGAGGGAAAGAGGGGTAGGGGGTCAGGGTGGTAAGGGAGCCCCAGACTGAGAGTTAGGTCTTGGAACATATGGACTTTAATGGGAAGTCTATAGAGTTAGCGAAGGTTCTCCATAAGAGGAAGATCAATATAGCTTATCTCTAGGAGACTAGATGGGTGGGAGCTAAGGCATGAGATGTAGACAGGTTTAAACTATGGTACTCTGGACACATGGGGGCAAGAACGAGGTAGGTATTTTGTGGTTGATAGGTATCTTTGGGAGCTAGTGGTGGAGGTTAGGAGGGCAAATAACAGGCAGATGATTATTAAGCTAGTTATTGGGGAATTTATTTTTAAGGTGATTAGTGTGTACGCTCCCCAAGTGGGCTTGGACGAGGAGGTCAAAGGCGCTTTTGGGAGAATTTGGATGAGGTTGTACATGGTATTCCGCGCACTGAGAAGCTTTTTATGGGAGAAGATTTCAATGGCCACATTGGGGCGATGTTTGGGGGTTATGACGATGTGCATGTCATCTTCGATTTTGGAATTAGAAACGGGGGAGGAACTTCGCTATTGGACTTTGCTAAAACTTTTGATTTGGTGATATCTAACTCGAGTTATCAAGTGGGGAGCTTTGACTAAAGACAGAGCCCAGGAGTTGGGGAATAAGTTGCTGGTTACGGGGGCATGAAGGAGTAGTGGGGACGTGTGGGTATGAATTGGCTATCTCCATACTATGCTATTCTTGATTGTCACGCCAAGACCGTGACGCTGGCGATGCCGAGGTTGCCTAGGTTGGAATGGAGAGGTTCTCTTGGTCACACTCCTAGTAGAGTGATTTCATAATTGAAGGCTCAACGGATGGTTGAGAAGGGGTGTTTGGCATATTTGGCCTTTGTGAGGGATGTTAGTGCTGATACTCCTACCATTGAGTCAGTTCCAGTAAGTGAGGGAGTTCCTAGGTGTGTTTCTTGCAGACCTGTCGGGCATGCCACCCGACAAGGATATTGATTTTAGTATTGATTTGGTGTCGGGCACTCAGCCCATCTCTATCCTACCGTATCGCATGTCACCAGTAGAGTTGAAGGAGTTGAAAGAACAGTTATAGGAATTGCTTGTTAAGGGTTTCATCAGGCCTAGTTGGGGTGCACCGGTACTATTTGTGAAGAAGAAAAATGGTTCTATGAGGATGTGCATTGACTACATGCATCTAAACAAGGTTACTATCAAGAACAAGTACCCACTACCACGTATTGATGATTTGTTTGATCAACTTCAGGGTGCTAAGGTATTCTCGAATATTGATTTGAGATCGAGTATCAGTTGAAGATACGGGCTTCAGATATTTCGAAGGTGGCTTTTAGGACCTGCTATTGTCACTACGAGTTTCCGGTGATGTCTTTTGTGCTGACCAATGCCTCAACAACTTTCATGCACTTGATGAACATCGTATTTCAGTCGTATTTGGATTCTTTTGTCATAGTATTCATTGATGATATATTGGTGTATTTTCGCAGCCGAGAGGACCATGAGCAACATTTGAGGATCGTGCTCCAGACTTTGAGGGAGAAGAAGCTATGTGCTAAATTCTCCAAGTGTGAGTTTTGGTTCGACTTAGTGGAATTCTTGGACCACACAGTGTTCATTGAGGGGATCAAGGTGGATCCGAAGAAGATTGAGGCAGTTCAGAGTTGGCCCAAACCATCTACTGTTACTAAGATCAAGAGTTTCCTTGGATTGGCTGGGTATTATCGTCGTTTTGTGCCCAAATATCACTTCTTCTATGTTTATCTGTGATTATGTGACTTGCCGGGGTGGTTAGTTTGGTTCTGGAGATGTTTTGGAGTGAATTGGGAGGGGTTTTCATCTATAGCAGCCCCATTGACTAGATTGACGTAGAAGGGTGCCCCATTCAGGTGGTCTAATGAGTGTGAGGGGAGCTTTCAGAAGCTCAAGACTGTATTGACTATAGCTCCAGTTCTAGTTTTGCCTTCGGGATCGGGTTCTTATACAATCTATTGTGATGCTTCATGGGTTGGTATTGGGTGTGTGTTGATGCAGGAGGGTAGAGTGATTATTTATGATTCACGTCAGTTGAAGCTACATCAGATGAACTACCCAGTACACGATTTGGAGTTGGCACCATTGTTCACCCGCTCAAGACTTTGATGCATTATCTTTACGGCGTGTCTTGTGAGGAGTTCACAGATCACAGGAGTCTCCAGCACTAATTCAAGAAAAAGGATATGAACTTGAGGCAATAGAGGTGTTAGAGCTACTAAAGGACTATGATATCACCATTCTTTGTTATCCGGGAAAGGCCAATATGGTGGTCGATGCTTTGAGTAGGAAGGCTAAGAGCATGGGGAGTCTTGCTTTTATCCCAGCTGGAGAGAGACTGTTAGCTTTGGATGTTCAGGCTTTGAGCAACAAGTTCGTAAGTTTGGATATTTTAGAGCCTAGTATGGTTTTTGCTTGTGTTGTATCATGTTCGTCTTTGTTTGAGTGCATCAAGGCACGTCAGTATAATGATCCCCACTTGCTTGTCCTAAAGGACACAGTGCAGCAAGGTGATGCTAGGGAGGTGACTATTGGAGATGATGGGGTATTAAGGCTACAGGGTTGGATCTGTCTTCCGAATATCGATGGGTTGCGAGAGTAAATTCTTGAAGAGGCCCATACTTCGTGGTATTCCATTCATCTGGGGGCCGTAGAGATGTACCATGATTTGAGGCAGCACTATTAGTGGCAGAGGATGAAGAAGGATATTGTGGAGTATGTTGCTCGGTGTTTGAACTGTCAGCAAGTGAAGTACGAGCATAAGAGATTCGGTGGTTTGCTTTAGAGGTTTGATATTTCTGAGTAGAAGTGGGAGCGTATGACTATGGATTTTGTAGTTGGGCTTTCATGGACCTTGATGAGATCTGATGTAGTGTGGGTCATTATGGACAGACTAACTAAGTCTGCACACTTCATTCCAGTTATGACTACCTAAACTTCAGAGCATATGGCTCGAGTTTATATTCGGGAGATTGTTCGCCTTCATGGTGTGCCCGTGTCTATTATCTCATATCGAAGCAAACTGTTTACATCATATTTTTGGAGAGCAGTGCAACGAGGGTTGGACACACAGGTCGAGCTGAGAATAATATTTCATCCCCAGATGGACGGGCAGTCCGACCGCACTATTCAGATTTTGGAGGACATGTTATGAGCTTGTGTAATTGATTTCGGAGGATCATGTGATCAATTTCTACCGTTAGTAGAGTTTTTTTTTACAACAACAACTATCAATTGAGTATCCAGATGGCTCCTTATGAGGCCTTATATGGGATACGGTGTCGTTCTCTGGTTAGTTGGTTTGAGCATGGTGAGGCTAGGTTGTTGGGCACTGATTTGGTTCGTGATGCCTTGGAGAAGGTGAAGTTGATTTAGGAGCGGCTTCGTACAGCGCAGTCCAGGAAGAAGAGTCATGCCGACAGGAAGGCTCATGATGTGGCATATATGATAGGTGAGAAGGTTCTACTTAAAGTTTCGCCCATGAAGGGTGTGATGAGATTTGGGAGGAAGGGGAAGTTGAGCCCTAGGTATATTGGTCCTTTTGAGGTGCTTGAGAGAGTGGGAGAGGTGGCCTACGGACTTGCCTTGCCACCTAGTCTATAGGGAGTTTGACCCAATGTTTCATGTTTTCATGCTTCAGAAGTATTATGGGGATCCGTTACATATTTTGGACTTCAACACGATGCAGCTGGATGAGGATTTGACTTATAATGTGGATCCGGTGGCCATTTTGGACCTGCATGTTTGAAAGTTGAGGTCGAAGAATATAACATCAGTGAAGTTTCATTGGAGAGGTCAGCTGGTCGAAGAGGATACTGAAAAGACCGAGTAGGAGATGCGGAGCAGACATCCTCAACTTTTTGAGACTCCAGGTATGATTCTAGACTCGTTCGAGAACGAACGTTTGTTTAAGAGGGGGAAAATGTAACGACCCGGGCGGTTATTTTGAGTATTTTATCCCTATTTTCCTTATTTGATGCTTTACATATTTGTATTTGTGATTATGGGACTTGTCCGGGGTGGTTGGTTTGGTTTTGGGATAGTTTTGGATTGGATTAGGACAATTACTCCCAAGGTTTGATGCTTAAGTTGTAAGAGTTGACCGGAGTTTGACTTTTATGTTGACGATCTCGGAATGGTATTTTGATGGTTCCAATAGGTTTGTATAGTAATTTTGTACTTAGGCGTATGTATGTATTTGGAGTTTCCTAGGTCGATGCGATTCTATTTGGCGAAAGTTGGAGAGTTGAAGGTTTGGAAGGTTAGTTGGAATCGGTTCGTTGTGTCATTTGGGACTTGCATGCAAAATTTGAGGTCATTCTAGGTTGTTTAGGCTTGTTCGGCGTAAGTTTTTGAATTTGGAAATATAATTCCTAGGCTTGAGGTGTGATTCATAGTTTTGATATTGTTTTGTGTGATTTGAGGCATCGAGTAAGTTCGTGTTATGTTTTGGGATTGGTTGGTGTGTTTGGATGAGGTCACGGGGTCCTCGGTTGTGTTTCGAATGGGCTCCGGACCATTTTACCAGGTTTTGGACTACTGTTGGCTGATGTCTGATTTCGTTCTTCGCGATCGCGACGAAGCAGTCGCATTCACAGAAGGTTGAAGTGGGCTGGGCAGTCCCATTTCTATGCGTTCACGGTGGGTGCTCTGCCTTCGCGAAGCAGCTGGGATCTGGGAGAGAGTTAGCCTATACGTTCGCGTGGTCTAAGCCGTTGTCGCGTAGGGTGTGATGTGATCTTCATCGCGTTTGCGATATTGTCAGCGCTAACACGAAGCTATTTTCTGGACTGCTAACTTTTTGGCCTTTGCGATCACGATGTAGGTCCCGCGATCGCGATGCATATGCCTGGGCAGACCTAAATATTTTATTTTGAGGGTTTTGGTTATTTTATCATATTTTGAGTTATATAGCTCGGATTTGGCGTACTTTGGAGGGGATTTTCACATTTTGGATTTGGGTAAGTAGGTTTGATTCGGATTTGTTCATTATTCATGATTCCAACCTTGATTTTAGTGATTGATTGACGAATCTAGGTGAAAAATTGGGGATTTTAGTAAAAACTTTTCGTAAGTAAAAATTGATGATTTGATGGTCGATTTGAGGTCTGATTTGGATGAAACACATATATATTTGGACTCGTATTGGAATGAGTGTTTGGAATTTGTGAGTTTTGTGGGGTTCCGGGATGCGGGTCCGGGGTTAACGTTTTGGGTTAACTTTGCATAATTGAACAAAGATCTTGGCTTTATTATTTGAGCTTGTTTCCTATGGCTTCTATTGATATTACTAAGTTATTTTGGCTAGATTTGAGCCGTCCGGGGGGTTGATTCACGCTGGAAGGGCTTCTTAGAGTACTTATTTGGATTGCTTGAGGTAAGTATCTTACTTAAACTTGGTTGAGGCACTAGTTTCTTGAGTTATTTGTGATAGCTACATGCTATGAGTGGTGCACATATGTGGGGTTGAGCCCATGTGCGTGCACCAGGGTATTATTCATGCTAGGGGTAGTGCTTAGGCTATGACATTCCTTGAATTAGTTGCTAAGCTTAATGTTGTGATGTTTGTTATATTTGTACCC